TATATATATATATATATATTATTTAGTAAAATATGAAAAAGTTTCGGAATCCATATAAATATTTTAATGAGAATAAATGGATATATTCGTTAATAAACGTATTATTATCGTACTGCGAATAGTAACGTGCAATTATCTTTTATTACAAACTTCACCAGAGCATTAGTTATAATTGACATCTCTGGTCAAATTTAGCAATCCCGTGTATTCCTGATCTGTCTTCTCCATGCGATTCGCAATCCCGTGATTCCTCGTGTTTTCATCACAGACCCGTGTTAAGTCCAGGAACCATGACCAACTTAAACTCCATTCTCAATGTCTCGTGACGGTAATCCGAAGACGAAGTTTATCGTGCTGCACTATGCATTATACGATAGAATACACTATTCGGAAAATTAAAAACATTAACCAAATTCATTACAAATCTCCAAAATCGACTACACTAATTTTATAATATTATACTTTGGGTATTACGTAAAAATTAATATATCTTTAGTAATTTAAAAAACTTATATTTTCAAGGTAATAAAAAAAATTTTTTTTTTAATTAATTTTTTTTACAACTTAATATTTTACTCCCCCCACCTCCCTCTTCCCTCTCTCTTTCTGTTTTTTCACACTTTATATTTCAAATTATAAAGATTATTTAATTTAGGTCTTTACGTAGCATATTACAATCATCCTCAAATAAAAGTTCTCATAATGCGGAATTAAATAAAATATTATTTACTGTATTTAAAAAAATCAATGTTATCACTTTAGCCTGCACTTTATTTCTTTTTTTCTATAGATTACTGTATCCGAGCTTGCACGAAACCTCGTTCTGTATTTTGCAAGCTTCACTCGATAGTCTAGATTGCACGTTTTCCGGGCCACGTTAATCCCGCGACAAAAGCATCTGTCTCTAACAATTATTCGAGGACGTGACACTAGTTTCCCTTCTCCCTGCCATGAAATCATCGCATGAGCGTGTGTATATGTATGTGTGTGTGTATATATATATATAGCCATATATATTGGAAAAGCAATTGGTATGTTTGATCTATCGTCGTCTCTCCCGTTCACTGTCAGCCTCCTCACCAATCTCAAACTGTCGATTGCCATTCCTACCCTCTCCGCGTGTGTCGCGTTTCCGCCATAATATATATACCCGGAGCGATTTATTGACTTAGAGGTACTAATATGTACGTATACACTTAGGTAGTACATATAGATACCAACCGATGTAGAGATGTCGCATCCTCCCTCTCTCTATGTATTTCGATGCACTCGGTTCGAGTGTGAAGGACGAAGGGAGGAAGCGGAAGTGTTGCGATCTGTGTTCATGTCTGTCTGCTTTTTCCCCTCCCTTTCTTTCTCTCTCCTTCCGTGAATGACTGAAACGGATACTGACGACTAATGGCTATGAAGATGGAAGTCGATGAACGCTCGTCCCATAAGCATGTCGCTTGTTTGCTCGTTGAGCATTTTAATATCAGGTGATTGCATAAGTTCGTGCCCGATTTAAATATAAACTTCAATAGATTATATTTTAGAGATAACACTTTTATTAATCAATTATATAGTCTCCATTCTTTTCTACAATGGTTTTCCAACGATCTATAAGCTTGTCGATTCCATTTTTGAAGAAAGAACTTGTTTTTTCTTGAAAAAAGTTTGTAAGGTGGTTTTCGACAACTTCCTCGGAATTGAGATTCTTGCCATTTAAACTATTCTGCAAAGACCGGAACAGATAAAAATCTGAAGGCGCAATATCTGGAGAATATGGCGGGTGCTGCAGAATTTCCCATTGCAACTCCTGCAATTTTCGCAGCGTCTGTTGAGCGACGTGTGGCCTAGCATTGTCGTGGTGGAAGATGACGCCTTTTCGATTGGCCAAAATCGGACGTTTTTCTCGAATAGCTGCAGCGAGTCTAGTTAGTTGCTCACAGTACTTGTCCGCCGTGATTGTTTCGCCGCGTCGGAGCAGCTCAAAGTAAATAATTCCCTTGCGATCCCACCAAACACACAGCAACACCTTCATCGGATGCAAGCCAGCCTTTGCTACGGGTTCTGCTCCTTCAGCTGCTGTTTTCCATGTCCTCTTTTGCTGTACGTTTTTGTAGAGAATCCACTTTTCATCGCCTGTTACCATTCGATCTAAAAAAGGCTCTTTTTTGTTACGCTCGAGAAGAGAAAGAGCCACAGTCATACGGTTTAGCTTATTCCTTTCAGTCAGGAGATGCGGCACCCATGTATCAAGCTTGGAAACGTATCCAAGCTTTTTACTCCCGACTGCTGCCAACCGCAGGTTGGCAAAAAACGGAGGGAGTATGCGTTTCACCGAGCTCGGATCGGTTGTCCGAATAATTCTCGATAACTACTACATAGTTTGATATCATCTTTTTTTAAATGACGAAAAGCGGTTTAATTATCGATGTTCAGCCTCTTAGCAATATCCTCAGTTGTAATCCTTGGGTTTCTTTCCACTAAGGCATGCACAATGTCATTATCAATGCCAGAAGGCCGTCCAGAGTGGGGTTGATCCTCCATGTTGAAATCACCATTTCGAAATCTGCCAAACCACTTTTTGACTGTTCGGAGAGTAGGAGCGCGGTCCAAATAAACGGTTTGAATATTTTTTTGTGCAATCCCAACACTCACGCCTTTCCGAAATTCATATAACATTACATGCCGCAAATGCACCTTTTCGTTCTCCATTTTTAATGATTTCTCTTATGCACAAATGGACTTATCTGAACAATGTCTGACGCTAAATTGACATAAGACAACGTCATCTATTCGGTGTAAGCAACAATTACCACACGAAAACAATAGAACTCCGCCATGCAGTAACTTAATGCCATCTATGAAAATCGGGCACGAACTTATGCAATCATCCAATATATTATGAATTATGCGTTATTGCGTCATCCGTCAAGAAACTTTGCGTTTTACTTCGCGTCTCGGCTGCCCGTTTGTGAGGGAAGCCCGATCGATCATCGCGCGCCGTCTTACTCTCGGCTGCTCTAATTTCGCTAGTATACGAAAGTTTAAAGGCTTGGATCTAATTACGAGATCGAAAGAACACATTGTTAATCAGCTTTAAAGGTAAGCGAGGTTTTCCGCAAAGTCGCCACTTATAGTACATTCTGATTATACATAATTGAAGACCTTACTTCCACACAAACTGTCTTAAGTTTTAAAGCTTTCCGAGATATAAAAAACACTTTAGGCCGCTTTCCAAGTATGAATTTAAGACGGTTTAATTGTGTAAAGTGGAATATATTTTACATACAATACAGAGCTGAAAAGCGTGCAAATGACGTTAAAAGATTCAAAAGAATCCACACAGACACATTCTTCTAAAATATATAAATCATAAATTTTAGCAAATTTAGCAAATTCATCAATCTTCCCGTTTGCATCATTTACTATTTTTGCCACTAGATGCATCCGAGATATAAAAAACACTTTAGGCCGCTTTCCAAGTATGAATTTAAGACGGTTTAATTGTGTAAAGTGGAATATATTTTACATACAATACAGAGCTGAAAAGCGTGCAAATGACGTTAAAAGATTCAAAAGAATCCACACAGACACATTTTTCTAAAATATATAAATCATAAATTTCATCAATCTTCCCGTTTGCATCATTTACTATTTTTGCCACTAGATGCATTAGGTCAGGGTACTAAGTGCCTACGCGAAAGCATCGTTTACCTACCTCGCGCGATACAGCTTAATTCCTGGCAACATCGGGACTTGATCACAAATTAGCTGCTGATGTAACTTCTCTCATCTCCTCTTCTCTTTCTCTCCTCCTCTCCGTTATATGTATCAGCCGATATTTCATCGATTTAACGCACGGTCTATTCCCAACTCACGACTCTAAGAAGTTAAACGCCGATGGCGCGATGTAAATCGCGTCGAGAAATACAGAATTAATAACCATCGATATATTAAACGAGAAAAAATATATTCTTCTGTTTTTTTTTTCTCGTTATACACATTCTTCTACGAGCCGCAAGATCTTGCGAAAGTACGAACGAGCGATAGTTAGTCACCGCGGTTTGAATATTCATAGGGAAGGAGGATTGTCGAGGCGCGCGCGCGTCGTCCCTCGGTAGGGGTTTATATTCATGAAAAGTCTGAAAAGCTTCGGTGAGCATTACGCAATTTTAATACGTCGCTCCAAAAGAGAGAAGGAGAGCGATGACTCCGAGCGGCGGATTTGTTCCGCAAATCCGTATTAAATTAATATGAGAGTGCGCGGTATTATATAAAATTTTTGTTTGTTTCGGAATCAGCACTATCTCTATAATAGGTTTATTTTATAAAGGGAATATAGAGAGTATATTTTTTTTTTCGCGAGACCGTACGCGTATTTTACGGTACGAAAAACTACGTATGAGAGATATTTGTATTTACGAGCCGATAATTTCAATGACATAAAAATTTACAGGGAAAACAACATTGAAAGGGAGCGAAAAATAAATACCGTTATACATATAACATGCGAAGCGTCTCTGTGAAAATATAATGGTACATCTGACAGATTTCATCTCGTTTCATCGCTTTATCGTAAAGAAGGCGTACGTTAAAAATCGTTCCTTCATACTACGTCATCTCGAAGAATTATTTTTGGGTATAGAGAGAAAAGACGAGAAGGCGCGTATTTACCACGGAGAGAAAGAGAGATGGAGATAAGCCAGTTTTTATTAAAAGCTGTTCCCCATTTTTGCCGATAAAATTCATTCGATCATCACATCTTTTATCAAAATTTCCATTCAATTAAACGCTCATTTTGCTCTTTCATCGTCCATTCATTCGTTAATCAAGCTAGAAACGTTAATAGAGAGAAAAGCGAGCGCGTGATCACGGAAAAAATTATGTCCGATGTTGTTTTAACCGATTCTAATTTTGCCTCTGCCTTTCTTTTGCCGACACAGTACGTCTTCGTGGTGATGGCGGTGCTCGTTCTGGAGGCCGGGGTCGGTGCATTGGCGCGGCTCTACGAGGAACAAGTCGGCCCTGAATTGAGGATGAATTTGAATCGCACCTTCCTCGAGAACTATTCCGTGCGATCACGGGAAACCGCGGCCATCGACCAGATGCAGAAAGAAGTAAGTACGAGAGCCATCCAGAGGAATTTCTTATCCATTTCTCAAACGGGGCTATATGTATACGGGCCGTTTGCGAACAGCAACCGCTGTCGAACAATTGCGAGCGAAATAAAACGCGCGCTCGAGTTCCCGATAGTGCGCAAACGGCGTTCTTCCGATATCAGTTTCCTCATTATCATTTTTATATTCCTGACCTGTTATATTCCAGCTCAGAATAACACTTTCGATGGCGTTTCGTGTCGCAATGCGCTACCATAGAAATACGCAATATGATACCGGCGTTGAATGTTTGCTGAAAACGTTTCGTATGGCTCGTCAATGCGTAATACGATCGTCGTCGACAAATAGAGGGTGTCCTAGAATCAGCAAGTGTTCTTTTAATCACAGAGATTCTCAGAGTTGGAATTTTCGAATAATTTTATTCCTCTTATGTAGAAAAGATATGATTTAATTTATAATTTAAATTAGTATTCCCGTCATCTTTTTGTGCGGTAATTCTTGCAACGCATCGTAGATCTTTGCACATTTCCTTGATTGAAAGCGAACCACACCCGTAATTCACCTCGAAATTATTCGACGTTAATTAACGAATGCTCTAGTCGTCCACATTGCTCAATGCCGGCTTTTGTGCTCGGAATATCACGTGGCAGCACTCTTATTTATGTTCTCGTCGGCGATAGCACTCTCTGACTCTTTTTCTCTTACGACGACCTTGCAATAATAAATTATCGTTATCACGTCGCGGAACACTCTTCCCGCCCATTCGCCATAAATTGATTAGCACCACAGTGAATTTGCGTTTTCGTCCCATACTTTCGTGAAATGTCTTGACTTTATGCGGCTTCATTTCCCATATGTATATATGCATCTCGTAAAGATCTTTCGAACGTAGATTTATGCTCAGATTGAAGTCGTTATAATCATACGGATCAAGTTGCCCGTTATATTAGCGGGATTAAGTCGACAGCTCGTAGCTACGAGACTTAAGCCAACCGAGAGCGAATGGCTTATATGTGCGAATGGCTTATATGTATAAAGGCCTGTATATATATGGGCCATTTCGAGGGAACGTTTCCGTCGAAATTAATCGTATCTGCCGCCTAAATCCGTTTTATGTCGAGCGCAATATCTTGATTTCGGATCGGACTTGTAAGCACACGTGATGCGATCCACGGCGCCGATAATGGACCCGGGAGTTAAGTCGCTCTCCCGCCACGCCATTGACCTGATAAATCGAGCCCCTCTTCCCTCCGGCAATTTCACCCGTCTGCCATAGATCCCATTGGTCGCCCGAGGATTTTCGTTTCCATTTCTTCTCGCGCCGGCTCAGAGTGTTCACACAGCATCCTTAAACCCTCGTCCATCGAAATTGGCGTGAAACCGTCGGGCAAGTGGAAGAAATTCGGAATCCGCATTTTATTTATACACGGGGGGTATAAGCATTTCATTTCGTTCGGGAAATCGAGTTTTACCGCGACAGCGCGCTTGTCGGGAATTTTTAAGGCTGTTTCGCAAACGGAAATAAATATCCCGCGTACGCGCACGTGCTACACGTGAATACACTCTCGCGAAAGTCTTTTGATGCATCTTTTATTTGGTTTTTTACGAAAGAGATTTATTGTATATTTGTTCCTTCATTTTTATTTGTTCCTCTTCTCTCTATTCTTTTTTAATTTCAACTTACTCATCATCGAAAATAAAGTCGCAAATGCATTCCATTTTTTTATACATCATATTATTTTACTATTCTTGAATAAAGAAAATATGACGTAAATATGTGCACGTTTACACGTGTAAACGCGCTCTTTTTCCTCGCAGTTTCTTTGATCCCCACTCCTCTTTCTTCTGATACTTGTATAATTAAAAGGACTTGGGGCATCCGTTTGAGGATAATTAATAAAATTGATGGCGGTTATATGGTCGTGGCAACAAATGTTGTTGCACCGCAGATGTATTCCCCAGTTTATAGAGATTTCGAGTATCCCTGAAATTTTAAAGAAAGATCATTTATATCAAAGTTGTATCTGGGTGACCAACTCTTGATTAACCAATTTCGGGATATCGACCTTAAAAAATCGGGATTTTTTATTGGTATAATTTTAATTATAAAACATAATGCGGTTATAATATTGCAATTTTATTGAGTTTTCTTTTTATATAAAACCGGCTAATACTATAGAAAAAACCTGCCTTCGACTATGGAGGTTTGTTTTGTATTTAGTTTATTTTAGATTGATTAATTTGATGGTTGACTCCTATCTTGACTCTTATCTTTGGTTTGTATTTACTATTCATACTCAATGTTAAACAATCAACAAAACATAACCTTCTATTATTTTTTAATATAAATAATCATTAGTTTAAAACTAAATTGATAAAATTTTTAAATTAAAATTAAAAACAATCTATCATTATGTTTTATATTATTTATTTTATTTTATGTGAAAAATCGAGACAAATAGTGTCCCTTCTAATGAGAGTTTTATTGAGTTTTCTTTTTATATAAAACCGGCTAATACTATAGAAAAAACCTGCCTTCGACTATGGAGGTTTGTTTTGTATTTAGTTTATTTTAGATTGATTAATTTGATGGTTGACTCCTATCTTGACTCTTATCTTTGGTTTGTATTTACTATTCATATTCAATGTTAAACAATCAACAAAACATAGCCTTCTATTATTTTTTAATATAAATAATCATTAGTTTAAAACTAAATTGATAAAATTTTTAAATTAAAATTAAAAACAATCTATCATTATGTTTTATATTATTTATTTTATTTTATGTGAAAAATCGAGACAAATAGTGTCCCTTCTAATGAGAGTCGAAAATCGGGATGTCCCGAAAAATTCGGGACGGTTGGTCACCCTAGTTGTATCGCTCGTAAGAGGATCTTTGGTTTTAAAACTAGAGCAACGTTGAATCAAAAACTGTGGAGCTATACATTTGTAGTCAATCCGCGCTTCTAACGCGTCTCGAACGATGGGATACCGGAATTTATACGCGTGCTCGGAAAGGATCCGAATGCAGACAAGATTGACCGTAGCGCCTGCGTGTGTAAAGGATCTGTAGAAATGTTTATCGCAACTAATAGTTCCGGCGCGCGATGAATCCCGCGGGATTACGTGCCCGCATTAAAGTTACCATTTAACATGCTCCCGCCGGAACACGTTTCTCACCTCCATTAATCTGCCTCTCTCTCTCCATTCTTCCTCAGGCCCCTTCTCCTCTCAATGATTCCCCGCTGTATAACGTGTCCCGCTATCGTTATTATCGTGCGCTATTATCGTTGTTATCGTCGCCATCATCGTCTCATTCCCCTTTCTGCCTTATCCTTGTATACTTTATTACAGCACAGGTCGTGGAGAACGGAATTGGAGAATGAGAAAGATGAGCTTATCACTAACAAGTTAATGCAGTTTAAGAGCTCGATACTTACTCTGTGTGATTCTCGATAAAAAGTTATTTATTATTAACATCATGTCGAAAGATATGATGTTATTTATGTTTCATACTTAGAATAAAATTGTATATTTATATATTTTTCTAAAAAGGAATATAGCTAAAGTAGACAAAAGTGTTAAACACAACGCAGGTTGATGAAACTTGGGAGAATGATTCATTTTGGCTTTAGAATTGTGTTGAAGAAAGAATTTTCATTGACACTTGTCTGACAGTTTCAAATTGACTTGGGGTAGCAGCTCCTTCGGAGATTTGAAAATCAATACATTTTTATGGAGTACGACAAATAGAGAACTTGCATCTTGATTACGAAAGAGCAGGCATCTTCCCAAAGAAACGTTGAAGTTGTTTAAGGTTCAGATGAAATGACGCCACTCTACTCATGTCAAATATCATCTGTTTGTTCTGTTGAACACAAAGAAAGAAGGATTGGAGATGATTGACGAGTACTTCTGCACATGCAAAACAGAAAGTTGGATGCTATGCCCATATTGCCTGTTTAGTTTGGTACTTTACTTATGTTTGCCATCTTGATCACATCATACTTCCAGCTGTCTCATTTTCTTTCTCCCTTTTTCAAAGAAGCAACATCACTATCCGATACAGAGTTTATCGAAGAAGAACTAGAAGAACAATTGAAAGAGTTGATCGAATGTGAAGTTGACATCCTCCCTGATAATGTATTTGATCGGAATGATGAAAACGAGGATAATAAGAACGAGTGCCAATAAAAATTCTTATTTCAACACGGTTCTACAACCAAAACGAATCATCCTGCCAAGATTCATCAACTTGCGTTGTGTTTAACAGTTTTGTTTACTTTAGACATACTCCTTTAAGAAATTGGAATAATTTTTGAAAATTATTAAAAAATCTAAATAATTTTTGAATAAAATTTGATAATACAAGAAATTTTAATTTTCAATTTATTTTTAAATGTCTCATAAAAGTTTTTGATTATTAAGCCTTTTCTTTCCATTTTCGAAATAATTGTGTGAAATTTCTTTGAGGTGGCTACAAGGTGGCTGAAAGAAAAATTACACTTTCATAAAGGAAATGAGAAAGACATGGAAATTATTTGTTTGATTTCCTTCACGTGTATTATTGCAGAAAACATTATTATTGAAATTTGCAGTTCAAATGCTGCGGTGCCTTGAGATTTGAGGACTGGATCATGAGCGAGTGGCATAAGGACGAGGAGGTCCTTAGGAACGGTAGCGTCGTACCTGACAGCTGCTGTAAGACGCCGACGTTACTTTGCGGGAAAAGAGATCATCCCTCCAATATTCAATACACAGTACGTCTGCCACGACTTCACGAATTTCTTTAGCTTTTCTCGACTGATTATCAGACGCGATATTAGCCTGAATTGAATGCCGCGCGTTCGATATATTCTCTTGGAAGTGGGATTGTAACTTCGAATGTATGGCATTGTTGTAAAATGACAAACAGCCAAAAGTCCCATTTATGATTCGCGAGTTTGTACTTTTAACTTACGAGTTGGCATAGTTTCGGGATAAATATCGTGTTGCGGAAATTGAGTTCTCGCCTAAACAAAACAGCTTTATATCTGCGAATCGCTGATAAATCTAACTTTTTGATCTAGGGCTGCATTTACAAGTTCCTGGAAACGACGAAGGACCACCTGATAATCCTGGGCGCCGTCGGGCTCGGCTTGTCGGTCCTCGAGCTCTTCGGCATCGTTCTTGGCTCCTGCCTCTACATAAAGCTCAGGCACGACTTCGATGACTGAGAATTGCTTCATTGCCCCGAGGGCAATAATAACGGCCAGTCGTGGTGCAGATACATGCAGAACAACTCGGAGACCGTTTGATCGTCGGAGTAGGGGCGGGAGGATGCGATTACAGCCGCGGGAACGTTCGGATGAAAGGGAACCGTCCTCGACCACGGACCCTCATTTGCGACTCCCTCCCCCCCTATACCCTCAGTAAGGTATCAACAACTGAAACTCGAGGTAGCGAATAAGAAGAAACGATGCCGTTTTCGTCGTCTAGCTTCTCGCGATTTAGCGAAATGAACAATTGGAAGAGGAAGTGAAAGTTCAAAGGTAAAAAAAAATGTGTAAAGAGATTGATCCAACGTCTTGGATCATAATCTAAGAGATAAAGATACTTTTCTTGTCGTTGAATACGATTGTGCACCGAAGTATAGTTTAAAATTCGCGCATTGTCGACGATTTAAATTAGTCTCTTAAAGGTGCCTTTACATGGCAGCGTCAAGCGTCAAGCGTCGAGCGTTAAGCGTGTGTGTGTGTGTGTGTGTGTGTGTGTGTGTGTGTGTGTGTGTGTGTGTGTGTGTGTGTGTGTGTGTGTGTGTGTGTGTGTGTGTGTGTGTGTGTGTGTGTGTGTGTGTGTGTGTGTGTGTGTGTGTGTGTGTGTGTGTGTGTGTGTGTGTGTGTGTGTGTGTGTGTGTGTGTGTGTGTGTGTGTGTGTGTGTGTGTGTGTGTGTGTGTGTGTGTGTGTGTGTGTGTGTGTGTGTGTGTGTGTGTGTGTGTGTGTGTGTGTGTGTGTGTGTGTGTGTGTGTGTGTGTGTGTGTGTGTGTGTGTGTGTGTGTGTGTGTGTGTGTGTGTGTGTGTGTGTGTGTGTGTGTGTGTGTGTGTGTGTGTGTGTGTGTGTGTGTGTGTGTGTGTGTGTGTGTGTGTGTGTGTGTGTGTGTGTGTGTGTGTGTGTGTGTGTGTGTGTGTGTGTGTGTGTGTGTGTGTGTGTGTGTGTGTGTGTGTGTGTGTGTGTGTGTGTGTGTGTGTGTGTGTGTGTGTGTGTGTGTGTGTGTGTGTGTGTGTGTGTGTGTGTGTGTGTGTGTGTGTGTGTTATTATTAATCAAAGATATATTATGAAACGTTACTACTCTGGCAATGTAAATTAAAATTAAATTAAAATACGAATGCGGCAAGAGATTTTTGATGGTTGAAATATTCAAATAAATAAGACACAAAAAGGAATTCACAAATGACAAAACGATACAGTTTGAAAAACTATTGTTAAAAGTAGGAAATGATTTAAAGGAGCAGTATGTTATAAACATGCAGAAAAAAAAATATGAAAATTATATCTCTTAATCCTTGATTAGATTCTAATATTCTGCTGGGGGATAGTAACGTTTTATATATATTTTGTTTAATAATAATAATATCTATTGTGTATAATGTAAATAAATATCAATTTTCAGTATTAGTAATGTGTATCAGAACATAATTTTTTTATCTCGACCGAATTCATATCACTCATCATGCTATTAGCCGCAAGAAGCTGGAATCTATCTCATTTAGATTCCTGCGCAATGATTTCTGCGCAGACGATCGATGCTCGATGCTGCCATGTAATGGCACCTTAAAAGATAACGCCATTACGAAATACAAGGAAACGGAGAACCTGATATATGTATCACGCAGACGACTTGTAAAGTCAATCGATTTTATTCTTGTTTTCCATGTATTTTGTAATGGTATCTACTTTATTGTACGATTTCGGAATTTCTATCAGCCCGGAGAGCAATATCGATAAATTTAAAGTTGGCTTTAGTGTTTTCTGAAGCAGTGTTTTTACGCAAGAAATTACAAAGACGTAAACAATTTTGATAAACGATCACGTGCGGACAGACGATATGTGCACGCTGGACCAGTAAAATTATCTCGACAATTGTTCGCAATCGATACTAAGCCAATCGAGACTGCGTAACTCACGACTAGCCCAACTAATTCTTGCTATCAATGGTGTTTAAGTATATTTTCCGTGGTATTTTCTCTCGGATGAAGACACACGAACTTGGATCCTTTTTTATAACCGTCAGTCGTGACGTTAAATGTACAATATAAAAAAAAAAATCTTCGAACGTAATATAATATTTTTCAAGATCGGTGAATCTTCGCGAAAGCGCCGACTTCATATACTGCCACATATTGCAAATTTGCACAATATTTAATCGCGATTTGCTAAAAACCGATTAGAACGCATTGCAATAGAAGCCGTGACGAAGAAGAAATTCTTCTGCTTAAAGGAAAAATCAACATGACCATCTGACTTTTTCCGCGCAACAATAAGATCTGATTCAGTCGAGTAATGTCAATTTTCCTGCGATCGGATCGCGCGTCATCGAGTTCAGTTACATCCCTTCTTTTTGTCTCTCGCGCGTCGATGGATAAATAATCGGGTAATCATCCGTTGTAAACTCGATGATGGATCGCGATTCGTATCTCCGACAGCGAAGACAAGTCTAAAATCGACTTATACATCGGATAGAACTGTAAACAGTGCCTTGATAATATTGTTAAGCTCAGAGATATTTTAGAATACGCGTATAAAAAAATTAAGAAAAGAGCGT